ACCTCCAAGAATGTAAAATCCCTCTAGGTCCATGATCTAGTGCTTAATTTTCCATATAGTATTTTTTTATTATTTATTTTTATCCAGGCAAAATCTCCTAATTCCAACTCACAGTCACTGTCTCCCATTCTACCACTGTTGACCTCAGTAAAGACTGTTCACCACTGTGCTCTCAATAACCTCTCATAGGTTCTGGGGACAGCAGATCTCCTTGAAGCCAGCCACCCCTTTTTAGGGTTGAACAACCCTTGTTCCCTCAGCCTCTCCTCACAGGGCAAGTGCTTCAGCCTTTCCTGTCTTGGGAGCACTCTGCTGAACTTGCCTGCAGGTTATTGACATCTTTCTAGTACTGGGAGGCCAAAAGCTGAAGCCTGTATTCCAGATACAGTGGAGCAATTGCTGACCAGAGAGAAATAACTGCTTCCCTTGATTTTCTGGCTGTTTGCCTGCTGGCAAAGCCCAGGGTGCCATTAGCCCTCATCTCTAACTGTCCCCAGCTGGCCCCCAGGACCCTTGTGTCCTTCTCCACAGGGTTGCTTCCCAGCCAGGCAGTCCCAGTCTGTCCCCTGCTGGGTCTTAGTCTGTTCCAGACACAGGGCATGGCGTCTGTCCCAGATGAATTTCAGGAGTTTCTCGTCAGCTCATTTCTCCTGTCAAGCTTCTGCATGGTAGCCCTGTCCTTGAGCATTATCAGATTCATCCCCTCCCATCCATTTCAGGTCATCTGCAGACTTGGTGAGCATACATGTAAATCTATCTCTTTCTCCAAACCCAGGAAAGACCCCTGAGGCAATCCACCTGTAACCATTTACAAATATTTGTGTTTGTTACAACATTTTTCTGTTTATTGAATGCTAAAATTGTTGCAAGTGTTGTATTAGAAAAACTTTTAAGAGCACATCTGACCAAACATGATGATTCCGGCAAGATTGTTGCACAATAGTCTGAAGAAAATAGATTTGGGTTGCCAAGGTGTTTTATAAGGAAGCAGGAATCAATAGAGTAAGTTCTCCTGTTATCCTTTACCATTTCCTATCTAATGAATTTATGGGCCTGATGAGAAATGTCTTAGACTTCAGTTACAACTTAATTCCCAAGTACATCAAGAAAGAAATATATAGGAGCATCAGTATGCCCAAGAGTGAATTGGAGACCTGTATATTGAAAAGAATAACCTGTGTGTACAGCAGGATGCTGTTCAGGAAGATACAATTCACTCTGGTCTAATTTTGGTTTTGCTTCACTTTGGGCCCAGCTCTTTGATGTGCAGGTTGCCCTGGCCTCAGAGTTTGTTAGCAGGATGTTTCATTGGAAATAGCAAGCTGAAACATTCTTTAAAGGTAGGATTTCTTTTCGCTACCAAAACACACATGCACAAAAAGGCAAAATGCCAAAAGTGTCATATTTAAAAGACAAAAGATGTGGAGCCAGAAATTCCCTGGCTTCATTAGAGGTGTGAATATTGCTATGTAGTTTTTACTCCAAGTTTTGGCTCTCTTCTCACTCAGTTGTCATCTTTATTCATAAGCTTAGAAATTCTGCTGAGTGTGTCAACCTCCTCATTCGCTTCTGTGGCCAAACATGCTTTCTCCTGTTTTAGGAATATTTCTTACAGAACTTCTTTCTGACAATAAGCTTTTTGTTCACTTGTTGGCTTGGTTTTGCTGTAAGGATGGGACAGGTAATCTTGCTAAGAAAATAATCCTTCCTCTTAGCTCCTCTGTAGTTTTATTTGCCATCTTATCTGCATGATTAAACATTTAGCTCATATGATTGTTTCTCCTTTCTTAATAACTCCAGGCAGAATTTTGTGATTGTGTCCTACTAATCTTACTTGGCTGTCTGTCAGCTTCAGTGCAGCTCTCTGGGCTGGAATACCATGGGATAAAATGCTGTGTACCCAGGTACCTTGCATGATTGGGTCTGTATACATAACTAAACTGCACCAAAACTACCTTCAAAAATGGAGGCAGCAAAGCTGCAGTACCCCAGGCTAATTAGCTCCCCTGAGAAGCCCACTGCACTACCTAAAGCTTTTCAGCATCTTTGGTCACACCTTGTTTTTCTTTCTGGAAATACTTGCTATGGCTGCTTGATGTCCAAGCAACATTCTTGCCATCCCTCCTCCGTGTCCCCATTGATTGTTAGATAGAATCATAGAATGGCTTGGGTTGGAAGGGACCTTAGAGGTCATCTAACTCCAACCCCCAAACACCTTCTTGACATTTGTAATAAAATGCCCATTCTTAAAACTACTTTGGTTTTGGCTTGTTATTGCAGTACAAACTTAGGTAGCAGGAGAGAGGCATACTGAAGCTATTGTCAAAGGCAACAAGAATGTCTCTGTTGTTTGTAGATCCAAATTGAAATGGTATGAGACCTTTTACAGAGAGCACTACTACACAGAGAGTAGCAAAACTACCTTTCCCAAAGAGTCTTGTTTCAATACCACATAACAACACAGGATTTATTGAAGGTGATATCATCACAACATTTTCATCTTGTACATTCAGTCTGCAAGCATAATAACGATCACTGAGCCGAGCTAACTTTTAAAAGCCAGATGCAAGGATGGCTGATATTTCTGCCTTGGTTTTGCTGTTTTGGAGATGGTTGTTGCCATGTTTTGCACCACCTGGTTTCATATAATAGGACAACTGTGGGTGGAATTAATTTGGGAGTGGGCGGATGACAGGCAAAAGGATTACTGATGGTCGTATCCTCCAGTGCAGAGGTAGCTCAAGGGGGCCAAGAAGCCCTGGACCTGACTGGCCCATCTCCCATACAGCTGTGTGAGCCCACAGTATCCAAGTGGCCATCAGTGCTGTTCTGGTGGTTCTTCCTTGTGGACTTAGTGTTTTACTGCAATGAAGAACCTTAGCCAATGTCAATAATATTCGACATTAACATTTTATCCGACATTCTCAGTTACGGAACAAAATGTAACAACATACGACTAAGACATTTTTATTGTTTACCTAAGAAAGCTCAGCTTAGAGGAAAAACCTTTTTTAAATCTGTGTTGGTCCCAGGTGTATCAATCTTTCCATGTGAAGCATGTGAGGTGCCAAGAAGCCTCTTGACTTTCTGAAGCCAAAGATTTGGCTGGTGTAAATTTACATTGTCCATTCAAAATTAATGGAGCTAGAGTGACTCTTGCTAAGACAGGATCTGGCCCTGAGACTGAGCAAGGAATTTCACTCAAAAACACCATGTGTGTTACTGCTGTACCTCCAAGTTTTTTGTAAACAAGCACCAGAAGTTAAGACATTCATGATTTGGACAGGCTGAGCGTGAGGTTCAGATACTATGCACTGTATAAAGTGGGATAGGAGGAGGAGAAAACTGGAGTGTCCACTGTACTGTCATCTGCTTATGGAAAAGAAATTACTGTGGAGAAGACCCAGAGAGAAGTGCAGAAGGGAGAACATTGGAACAGAATAGGAAGTTGAGTCCTTTGATGTCAAAGAGACTCACTCTGATGACAAGATATTTAGCTCAGTTATCCAGTACGTTTCTGCAGGGGCAGAAGTAGAGTTTCCAGTATTAACTGATTATCTCTTCTCAAAAAATATTTAGGGTGAGCAGACACACTACTTGCTTAAATACTGCATAAGATATCAAAAAGAAATAGGTGCCATTTGGCACCTGCTGTAATTGCTATGATGGAAATAGCAATACGTAACTATCAGAAGAAAGGGCGCCGCACTCTAAAAAAGCTTAGAGCTATTTTATGTATTTTTAATGACCAATGAATAAATGATGCGACATACATTTTACATATCTGTGAAGTAATGAATTTGAGATTAAATCATACATAATGATTTTGAGGTGCTAGACACATGTTTAATATACTGAAGGAAAAATTGCGTTTGATGTGAAGCATGCATATAACTACAAGTATGTTGGATTGTTCCTGAGAATACCTTTTATACTTGAAAACTCTTTAGCTCCAACAGCAGACCCACCATAATACATAAAGAGCAGAACTATAGCCCTCATTCTTCTAGATGTCCAGTCATTAGACAAGTGCAGAATATTCCTGATTTTACCTAATCCTGTTACTGTCAACTACAGTGTTCTCCAACAGGAGCCATTGCAAGGCACATGTGAACAGGGCTGGACATGATCATAAACGAGTAGTGATGTATTTCAATAATAATGATGATGATGATAAACTATATATTTATTTTCCAGGAGAAAAAAAGAAGACAATAATAATAATAATAATAATAATAATAATAATAATAATAATAATAATAATAATAAAGAATTGTTCAAACAGTAATAGCAAATTTTATTTTACTTTTTCCTCCAGGCAAAATGATGTGTAACTTTGGTTACTGACTGGAAGGAAACAAAGTGGTCTTTAAATCATGGAATTTTCTGGTCAGTTTTTAACTCTTAGGGAGAAAGTCCATTGTCTGCCAAGCAGATGAGGCTTCCATCAAAGAATTTCAGATGTGATTTTTTTCTTAATGTAATAAGACACTATGCATTTTGTCCTCAGTTCTCTGAAAGGGATCTCAATGAAGCAATTAATATCAAACTGAAAGACTGACCAACCATCTGCCAATTCCAGCACATTCAATACAACTGATGCTTTATTCAAATGCAGAGTCAGAGTACAGACTCTGCCATCACAAGAATTGATTTAGCTCAGATGGGAAGGCAAGAAAGATATGTAATTATACATAGAGTGAAACCTGTTCATATAAGACTGATGCAGTAAAGTCTTTTCCTGATACACTAAAGAAGAAAAAATAAATCTTTCAATATATTGCAGCGTGTAAGATGCAAAGCAAGTCATACTGAATCTTTACTTGGCAAGAAGTTGTCTGGGGAAGAGGAAGAGTTGGATCATTACAGAAGGTTTTGATGTTTAAGCTGAGGTATTCAGAGATGCTAAAAGTATTAAACACCCAAATCTGATTAATTTTGGTGGACTTGGGCAACATAATCTTTGGGCAACACCTGACTCATATGTTTTGTCATTACAGAAGGCAGCTGCACAACAGGAAGCTATCCAACAAAGGGAGAGGAAATCCTGGGTTGCTTGGTTCAACAGAATATAAATGAAGAAAACATTATGAATAAGGAATCAAAGCTTGCAGAAGACATTTTGTGTCAGATTCTGACCGCTGATTTGGTAAGAGCATGTAAATCAACTGCAAAGTCAGCTGGAAAAGCTATATGAGGTTTTCTACAGCCTTGGGAGAACCTATAAGTCTGCAATACATTTTTCCTCAATTAGTTTGCTTAGCTGCAGGGGGGATGGGTTAGAATTTTGTCTTGAAACAAGGGCATAAAATCCTCACCCAGGTCACCATTCCTGTATTTATACAGAAAGTGTCCTTAAGTCTCCATGCAGGATGTACACATCCTGTGAGAGTTAGAGAAGTTAGAGGAAACAGGATTTCTCAAACTAGGACTTTCATGTCTTGTTGTAGAGATTCCAGGTTCTGATAAGAGGAAAACAAGATAATTGTCAAAAGTAAAATAGTATTTTTTTTTCCTTTTTTTTTTTTTCTGTGAAGAAAAAATTGAGTGGTCTTTTCTTCTGTGAAAATAATGCTACCCTGCTTGTGTGACGTATCAACCAAGCTTATCCATACAGTTTGCAGATCTAGCAACAAACACAAAGCACTCAAGCTTTCACAGAAGTGAAAGTGCTATTTAATTTATTCCTGAGACTGTTATAACCTCTGCTTTGATAAGACACTGAGCCAGTCATTCAGAAGAAGTTTGTTCTGAGTCACCAGCAACTCTAGGAGATTAGAAAGATGTAGTTCAGGACTTTTACGGGTAGAGTTTAAAAATGTAACACGCTTCTTGACCCAAATTCACATGCCTTAGTATTGGCTAAATATCTTAATTTGTTCACCTGTTGATTCCTATTTGAAGCACCTATGGAAAACATATTATCTGTGTAGTCTAGCTGTAAGAGATAGTCACCCCTTTCTCCTGAAAAATGGTTCTAAGGTCTGCTGTTCAAACATTGCATGCTTTGCTTTAAAACAAGCTGAAACTAATTAGCAGTGTGAGAAAATGATTGCTAACATCTAAGTCAGTGTTCATGTAGCTAAGCACATTACAAAGTCAGGACAGCAGATTTCTCATGGTCATTTGTTGAAGACAGGTATTCATTTGTAATAGCATAGTAGTGTTTAAACCACAGTTTCGCTTCTTCCTTCCCTATTTTGTGTTTCACAGGTTGACATGGATTTATTTGTTGCTTTGAAATAATGAAAGTGAATTGACTTTACTTTTGACTGATTTGACATTACTATTCAATCTTATTGATTTAATTTGGTGTGAAGGAGGGAGACTTTCTGGGACTGGACATTAACTGCTTCTATGCAATCTGACACTCTTGCTGTATCTGCCTTTTCATTTTAAATATTGCTGTTGATGTTTGTAAACCTACTGAGCCCAAGGAAGTGAAACTTGAAGAACGTGAAATAAATCAGATTTCCTAACACTGATTGTGCCTGCTGCTGCTTGGGGAAAAGGGTAGAAGACCTCTAAGCTAGAATCTAGCTTCTCTGTAGCTATAGTTGTTTCTTGTACAAGGTTCCCGCTCCATCTTTTCCATTAAACTGCACCTCCAATCCAGTCCACAGATAATGACTCTTCTAGGAAAGCTGATTGAAGCTCTTGATACCAACTTTGCAAAGAGAAGCTGAAGATCTGTTTCACTTTTCTTAGCATCTTCTGGAGCTAGCTGCAGCCCTTGGATTGGTATGTTGGCAGAATGACAGCGCTTCTCTTAAGAAAGTGTAATGTCTGTGAGGGTCATCAGGTCCCAAATGACTGTTTACAGGTGATGAGGTGTTTCTGTACAGATGGCTGCCTTTCTCCCTATGTTTCTGGACAGCATTTTCTCCTTTCTTTTATTGAGCATGTCTGCAGTGATACAGCATCACAGAGGAGCAAGTCTGAGCCCTGTCTGCTGGTTCTTTAAGCTGCCTTGCACTGTTCAGTTGCAACACTGAAACCTGCCTTGACTGAAGGGTAACACCTGTCTGAAATGATCCACGACACTTTCACCCTGTCACCTAAAAAGGTGCCATCACGGAAGATTTCTTATCTTGGAGGGAAACATTGGCAGAGGCAAATCTTCAGGCTGCCTTTGCTTATCCGAAGAATTGAGTCAAAATGCAAACAGGATAGATTTCTTTGCACCAATTTCTTTCCAACAGGAAAGAGCTCTATGCAGACTTAATGACCTGGCCGCCTGCTGAGAGAGATAATATATGCAACTATCTCCCAATAGATTTCTGCTGTAAAAAGATACCTTTTTCATTCCACTCTTTTCATCATTATGACATCTAACATGGAAGTAGAAAGAACAAGAGTCATTTTTAAGGCATTTGTTATTGCAGTATGAAACTCTTAGTGGGCCTTGTAAGTTAATACACATCTAAATACACAGTAACACCATCAGGCTCTGAGTATCCCAGGAACAGCTGGTGTATTGGCTGCTAAGACCTAATCATCTTTTAACATGCTCTGCAAATGAATGTAGTGAACAGGTATGACTGTCAAAACCCCTGCTGCTCAAAATGCTCTGTTCCTACACCAGCTATTATACTAATTTTTCAAAGATGGTGAAGATTAAAAGACAAATAAGATCTCAAAATGGAAAGGCAACATGCAGTTTTGTGAAAATTAATTTTTTATTTCTTCCTGATAGTGCTAAAGGTAAAAAATTATTAACCTTACCTTTCTAATTCCCTTCTCTGAATTTCCAAATCTATATTATTTCCTTTGAATCTTTGTCTAATAAAACCTGAAAATCCCATAGCTCCTTCAGCTAGTGGTGTTTAGTCATTTCTGTTGTCTCAAACTAAAACAATAAAAAATAAAAACCATTTTTAGAAGATGAAAAACTAAAAACTTCTCATAATTGTGCAAAACAAATGGCACTATAGTTTTCTTAGCAGCTGTGGGTTGTTAGATATAAAAGAGTGATTTATTTAAGCAGTTTATGGTATCCAGCAATGGATTTCATCTTCTACTTAATTGTATTTTAAGTAGCAATCTTGGACTACTTATGTTGATTCCTTTTATGGACTTTTTCTTATATTAATGGACTTGTTCTTATATTAATTAATAATATTATATAATATACATTCTTATATTAGTATTTCCTATGTTGATAGGGTAGGTATACAAGTCTTCTAGTGTTTTTACTGTTTCTTGACCCCTTTTAGCCTTTTACTTGGTCTTTTTTCTTATTTTTAACAAAAAGATTTAAATGAAACTTTTAAAGAATTTTGACTGTTGTGCAAGTTTTTAATGAAAAGTATTTGCCAAACTTTACATGAATAGAATACTTTCAGTTGCATCATTATTTTCCGCTGAGAAATTCATCTCTCTCACATACATACACACACACACACACACACACGATGTTTCCTGAGTTCTTCACAAAGACTACTTTGTAGATAATATTACTGAAATGCAGAGAATGATTTTGGTGAACTTGGTGCTACTGGATGTCCATTAACAAGGGGATATAAAGATCCAAATTGTTTCAGGGGGTTATATGTAAAATGGTTCTCTAGGTTACAGTGAGAAAATAATAGCAATATTATTTCACTGCAAAAGGAAATACCACTGTAGGAAATGAGAAATCATGCAGACAAATGATAAGTCAATGCAGGAATGCTTCACTAGTGAAAGGATGAGTCTGAATACATTTTGAAATATTTCTGTTTTTAAAATTGGGTCTTGTGGTTACTGTTTCGCAGTCAGTACTGTGAAAGAGTACTGTATATACAGACTGTATATAAAAACTATATCTGTATATAATTTGGAAATGCAGGAATTCCACCCTTATTTTGGTGGCCTGAAAGCATGAAAAAAAAAATACTATTTGTCTCATGAAGGAATAGATTTTTCCCTGTTCACATATAGGGATATTATGGCAATTTGAATAGCAATGTTACTTTTAAGGTGAGTAACAAACATAGAACAGCTTGTTTGCTGGTTCAAATAATTGCCCTTCAGGCTCACTTGAGAACTACTATCCTGATCCATGGTCTGTTACTCTGTTAATATTTACAAGACTTTGTGCAGTATTTGTTACTATAATGACTTAGCTTGGATATTCATTGTCAGAAGCTTATTGCAGCACTTGTGAAAATATCTAGATTGACAGCTCTGTGCAATGAATTCTCCTGTTAATTGATTTACAGAAAATGTGCAACAGCTGATGTAAGGTTTCTGCACACATGAATCCTACAGAGCAACCTGCAGGGAGCAGGAGGAAGAACCTAGTGTCTCTGCCTGCAGCACTGCTCGGATTAAAGGTATTGATAGTCACCTTTGTGTAAAAATCTTCATTGTGTGTAGAAGTAGAGCAAAGAACTAAAGGAAAAGGTACCAGAAACAGCATATGCCTCAACAGCCCTACTTATTAAGTGGTAACAATTTAGTTTTGGTATGAATGGTACTAAAATTCAGATTAAGATTCCTGCAAGAATGTTGTAGTTAGCAGAAAGGTGTTTACACATGGATTTTTAAGGCCCAGGGAATTCAGAGTTAAGATTAAATTCAAAAGCCATCAAACTCTTGAAAATTTGGAAACTCATAGTCAAGGTCTACAAACTCACTTGTCTCTCTCCCATAGTTGATAGCAGCCCCATTGAATTCGTACTTATCTATGTTGTAGTAAATGGTATTTTTGATTAAGCACTTTTAAATTACTTTAAGAAGTCAGCACATTTAAAAATGTCACTGCACTTGTACTTTCACAGAAAATCAAGGAAGGGATCAAAGTATGTATGTATGTGTATATTTCTGGCTGGCTCTTCTCTGTCTCTGAGCCTCTGCTGAGCTAAAATTAGAACGTCAGGATGGGTTGTTGGGAACTAATCACTGATAAACTGTGTTTCTGTACATTTGGCACTGACTGATATATTTAATGAATCATGATGTGTCTCTCTTGTCATGCTTTTGCTGTGAGATGGCAAAAACTGAGGAAAGAATGTAGATTTTCTGCTTCATCTTATAAATGCTGAAAAACTGCCTTTCTTTGAATTTCTGGAATGAATAGAAATTGTAGTTATGTAGAACAAACAGGTTTAGGAGATTTTAAATTTTAGCCCTTGTTTTGCTGCTTGACTGGGGCTGGGAAGTGGAGGGACAAATTTTAGAATGAGGGCAAAATAATTGATAAATAAGAAAATTGTGGATGAGATATTATTAATCTGTGGTCTCCAGGGATACACACGAATTACGAACTATTATGTGTATTGAAAATATAACTATTATTGTTGCATAAATCATCAATGACATTTAGTGATGAGTTTTTCATGTCTAATACCCGTGTGTTGTTTGAGTTACTAAGCCTGTGTCTCTCATACCAATTCTAAAGTAGCACAGGCACTGCAGAGTTCAGACCAGAGCTTCCAGAAGCTTAAACAATGTCAAACTTCACTGATGCCCTTTCCAGTCATGTGGATCCTGATAGCTTTGCTTCTGCATACAAGCAAATGTAGCTGCCTGTAGAAGTAATGCAGAAATACATTACCAGTGTTTGTTTTTAATTCTTCTTGTGACCTGGACAGCTTATGAACAAATTTGGAAGCTTAATTAAATTAATGCACTGAAAGCTGTCACTAGATTTGAATAGAGTGAAAAGGTAATGACTTGCTTTGTTTTTGTTGTTATTGTGGTGATGGTGTTGTTTGTTATTGTGTTGTTTTTGTGTTTTTTTTTTGTTGTTGTTGTTGTTTTTTTAAAGCAAGTTGGTAATCAGCAAAAAATAAAATCTTCTCTTTTTATTTGATGGTTCTCAAAGGGATTAAAATGAGCAGTCAAACAGTGGAAATAGTTGGAGAAGTCTAGATTTTCTGTTCTCCCTTCATGTGTATTGCAAACGCTATTTTACAAGAATTACAGGTAATATTGGCTCTAGGAAAAAAATGTCTGACAGCTCTCCAAACTGGCAGCAGAGTATTCCTTACACTGCTGTTGTCTGGTGAAGAAGACCAGAGTGTTTTTAATAGCTTGCAGAGATCACACTGTTTTGATTTAGAATCAGCAGAAAGTATGCCATTCTCTGCTTATCTACAACAAGCATCTGTTTTAAGATTACAGTGCTTTCTATAGAGCTGCAAAAATGTGTTGACATGTTGTAATTTAAAAGGAGATAGAGCTCACCGTGTGCTCACACAGGATACCTCTCCCACCAAAGCCAAAAGCAAATCTTGCTGTGACTTCATGTACGTGAAGGACTCAGCCTTCAGAAACAAATACCATGAAAAGACAAGGGAGAGAACATAAGGTTTGTGTAATAACAAAGTCCTGGTTCAAGTCACTAAGAACAAAGAGTCAACTTCTGACCCTGGCCAACTAGCCAACTGGAGGTAAGCAGTTCTTACCTGGATTAAAGCCAACATAGCCTTCTCCCATGCCACCCATTCTGAGGAAAAGGAAAGGCTGATCTCAATGTTTAGCTGTGTAGCCTCCGCAGTGAAGTGAATGCAGGCACATCATGAGGCAGTTCTTTTGGCTGTGAGAGAATGCATTCAAGCTAAGATGACCTACAACTACTGAGCTCTGAAGGTTGTCTTCCAGATGTGTCTATGTAACCTTTTTTTTTTTTTCCTTCTAAAACAAAGATTTCTAATTTAATGTCATCAAAACCACGTATACAGAAACATACATATGCATTATTTAGTATATGCAGAGGAAGGCAGTACTTATTTTGTACGCTGTAATATCCAAAATCAACAATTATCTTCTAATTCTGTTAACCATACCAATTAAGGATTTTCACTGTGTAATACTAGCTAGGACCTGCCATGTAGACTTTTCTATTGATGTTATATTGCAATACAATGCATATTTCTCCTGTGATACTATAACAGAGAAGGCTATGAATTGATCAGAAGTAATATTGATGAAGAGATCATTTTTCTTATTTTTAAAACTCCAGTTTTAATGTAATCAACCAAAGCAGAAATAATGATCTTAGTGGGATCTAATTTGATTATGTGCATTTGTATTCTGCGTGATTTGAGAATGTCTGCATGAATATTTTTGTAGGAGGTAAGGAGTAAGAAGTTCTTTGTAAGAGGCTGTGTAATTTAAATGGATCCATTTCTGTGTGTTTAAACAAGATGGTGGTAGCAGATACTACCTGTCAGATGTAGGTGTTACATAAATATATGTAGTACAAAGATAACAGAAATGAAATCTCCCATATTGCAATACCTTTAGGCATAAAGAAAAAGTAAAATCCCCTCAAAATACAACATAATTTTTTCCTCATCATGACTGAACATTTTGTTCTCCTCCCAGCCAAACCTAGACAAGCTCCCTAGTTAAGCATTATTTATTTGTATCTTGGACTGAATCCCACATGAGTCTTAATGCCATTTTGTCATTTTTCCTCCTGTGACTGAGGGGCTGTAAAGACTGATGCAACTTGAAGAACTGACAAACTAATACCTCCTGGTAGCTTGGTAAGGTGCTGCTGAGTAAACTGAGTAAACTGCTGAGTAAGGTGTTGCTATTGAGTACTATGCCCAGAAACTCCCTTCCTTTGATCCCTTTGTGTTTTACTGAGAGAGTTCCCAAAGCCCTTGCAGTTAGGAATAATGGCTGCTTCTCATGTTTCACTGCCTCCAACTTGTCAGGTTTGGCTTCCTGTGATGAAGAGTGTCAATGAGTATGAAGGGAGGCAGCTATGGCGATGGTAGCCACAAGTAAAGTGACTTTTCTGGTGCCCATGGTCCCAGTCATGGTTTCTGAAATACCTGACGGAAGACTTACCCTTGTTATTTTCCTGTAACAAGATTATTTTTTCTCTGTAACTGAGAGGAACATAACGGAGATAGAGGAACCTCTTTGTTGAATGAAGTAACAAAAATTTAGGAAAAATAAAAGCTGTGAATAACATTCCCTTATCGATTTCTTAACTGGAAATTGAGGGTATAAATTTACTTAAGAAAGTGCCTTGACTTTGTTCAGGCTTGGAAAATAACAGATGCCTTTACTAAGGCTTCTACAAAAGTTTTGTGAAACTTGCATGCTCTGATCCAGCGGTGCAGATGGGAGGAAAGCAGGCCATGTCCATCAGTAGGGTAACAGGAAAGGAAAGTGGATCTTCTCACTGTTAAGTTCACAACGTTTGATTCCTTGAGACTTGTTTGTCATAAATTTGGAGGTTTCCTGGTCTTCCTGATGTGTTTGATGTGACTAACTGCATAGTCTAAAGTTTTCAGCCACTTAGTATAGGGAATGGCAAATCAGTTACAAAAGGATGCCCAGAAATAGACAAAAAACAATCTTAATTACATTGCTTGAACCAAATGCTCTTACATGTAGACATTAGCTAGACAATACAGAGAGAAGCGATTTCCTGTAAGTGTTAAACCAACCCTAGGAAATCTTGAACTGTTATGAAATTTTGTGATTTATATTGGCTATTAAGAAATATTAAAAATCTCCAGCTATGCAAAAGTGCACTATAGCTCAAGGGGATCTGGAGATGCTCATATTGTGAAGTGATCCTTTATGAGAAAAGCTCTTCTTTACTTGACAGCTGCATTATTCACTCTATGATATGCTTCCAAAATATTTCATGTTGTGGATTCGTTGCACTGTTTTAATTACTAAATACAGGCTTTTTTAATCAACCATGCTTCTAATGCCTGAGGAATTTGCCTGATCCTCTGGTAAATGTTTAAGTCTTTGTTAGTGAAATGCATTTGAAGAATAGCTCCGTAGTCTGAGGGCTAAAGAAAATCCACATAAGACAAAGATATATTTTCATTTTTCTAGTTCTGCATGTGAAAGAAATGCTGATATGCCATAAACTATGTAGCCTTTTGCCATTTTTCTAACCCTTGGGGAATGCAGCATAGAATGGACACTTGTTCTGTTACTAAAACTTCTTTTCAGCCTCACAAAGACTTGGCTTCCCAACCTGATGAAAACATTCTTAGGAGTTTATATATAGCACTGATTCTTTGAGCAGTATTGTTTGGCAACAATAATAACATAATTGTATTAGTTTCTCAAAAGCTCTCTTCATAGCACTAGTTGAATAGTGGTAGACTAAATGCCACTGTACAGTGCCATGAGTTGTACCATTTTTTTTTTTTTGGTGCTCATGGACATGGAAGATGCAGGTGTTGATTTCTCTCACCAGGTTTATAATATTTCTTAATATCCATGGGCATAAAACTATTACTGCATGAAGTACACATTCACAGAAAGTGAATACAGAGTTGTGATTTGTAAAACAGAAGGAAAATAGTGATTTTGTGGCAAACTCCCAGCTGGGAGTTAATTTCAT